GGTGGATCTTCTCAGGGTGAGTTTGGTCTTCCGTGTTGAGGAGGTCTCGGCTCGTGAGATCACCCCGGGGCGGCCTCAGGACGATTTCACGCTCTGGCAGGTCTTGGACCCACAGATGCATGCACGCGTTGCGAATGCGGTCTTTGACAAGGCCAACATTGTGGGAGCGGAGAAGGACCCAGAGAGAGTCTACTTCGCCCGATGCCGAACGTTGTCACACATGGTCTGGCACGCGTCCGGCCCAGCTTCCTCGCCGCTCAGACTGCTGAAGTGCACGATGTCTGGTCTTCCGCGTGGTTGGATCTATTTTGATGAGGAGGACTCTCCCATGGCAGTTGCTGGGTTGCAAGCTACGTCGGTCATGTGTGTATTACAGTGTTGTTGCTGTTACTTTGTCCATTGTCATCGTCGATCTGAGGACTTCTGGATGATGCCGAAGAGGTGGTTTCCTGAAGATCCTGAGCCGGCGACGGTCGTCCATAAGAGGGAGGTCTCATGTCACGTGGAGGTCTTCGTTTCTTACTCGAAGCCTTTGCCACGGGTCATCGAGCAGCAGACGGAAGCCTTCTGGTCTAACAAGATCCAGGTCTACAAAGAGAAGGTTGAGTCGTTGTCAGGTCTCCTTTCGGACACGAAACGTGACTTAGCGGATGCACAGGCCATTTTGGATGGTCTTCAGAATCCGGGCATGGCTGCCGGTCGAAACCCAGTGGTCTCTGAGTCCGAAGTTGAAGAAGACCAAGAGATTTAAACTTAGAGCGGAAGGCGACGAGGTCTGGCAGTGACACGACTAGTCGCTCTTGTCACCCTTCCGGTCTTGTTTTTTGCAGCAATTGCGCCGAGAGCCGGTCTGACAGAGGCTGAGAAAAAACCAGCATTGCATTGGTCACTTATCGAATCAGTCGAAGCAGGCAGAGAGTTGGCAGCCGTTGTTTGGTCTACTAGAGTCTATGTGTCCTTCTTTGCCACATGCAGCCTTCTGCCCTCTAACGCTATCCGTTTGACATTTGCCGGGCGATTTTGTGCCAAGCCGTGAGCCTACACTCCGCAAAGGGCCCAAAAAGTTGAAACTTCAAGCAAATGATAGGAGTTCAACTTTTTGGGCCGAGTTGTGCGTTGCCCACCGGCGGGCAAGGTGCAACTTTGCAGGGTTCCCATTGGTCTGATACCATACCGAAACTTGGTCTCCTGTTGCATGTTTCCGCGGTCTCGCCAATGCCAGTGGCCAAATTCCAGACTTGGCACCTTGCTTTTTTGTTGATGCCGAGCTGCGAGCCCATGGTCCCCAAAGTCCCGAAAAAGTTCAAACCACCGCCAAAAACGCACAACTCGACCTAAACTTTTTTTG